CTGTTATCCCTGATAGGACTGCCCTTTATCCCCTCCCCTTCTTAGGAGTGAGTGGACAGGTTTGAGGTTTTAGGCTCTTGGGATGAATCACCAGAAGGATACTATAGAGCTGTTCCTATCCAGAGACTGTTGCCATCAGATCCTGGCTCCACTGCCTGTTTCTACCTCCCATCAGGCCCAAGATTAGCAAAATGTGGAGAAAGGCCTAGGTTCCGGACAACTTGAGCTCCCCCAGTGTTTGGCTGGGAGCTGTGGGGGTGGTGGCTAAGGCATGGGTTGTGTGTGTGTGTGTGTGTGTGTGTGTGTGTGTGTGTGTATAGAAGTCCTGGGAACCTGCCTCCTTCAGAGGACAATAGAAGAGCATTGTGTGACTTTGCCCAAATTTCTCTATCTGCAAATTTCTCTATTCTCCATTAGTCGTGTAAATTTCTAGAAGCTGATAAATTTATATTTAGTATAGAAAGCAAGTCATGTGCTATAGTCTTGTGCTTCTTCCTTCTGTGGACCCAGCAGCCTAAGTCCACTCCTCCTTAAACAGGCATGAACAGCATGAGTCAGACACCAGCGACAGAATTTATTACTCAAAGCAGTATGAGGAAGCTCGGGTGCTGGTCGCAATCTTCTCCCAACTATAAGAACATAAGTTTCTTCAAACAAATCCTCTACCTGCAGCTGATGAGAGGGATTAAAGGGTGCAGCACAAGTTATGTCATAGCTATGATACCCTCATTCTTGATTAATTTAGCTTAAAAATCACAAAAGGTATGATTTGGAACAAAATCTTGTACAGAAAAGACCCTGTGATTAAAATAAATTCAGAAATATCCTTCTAACAGATAAGACAGCAAGAGCCTTAAATGGCTATGAGAAGGGAACATCTTCTGTCAATGATAACCAGAACTAATAATCATCTGTGGGTGAGCCTAGGAGGGGAAGCCAATCCTACAGGTGCAGAACTCAAGCCCAGGCGGTCCTCTTGGGCTGGTCAGGCAGGATTTTAGGTCTCCCTGCTACTGTGTTCAGGTAGAAGTCTCCTGGTTGCCTGGTGACTGCTTCTGTGCCTCAGAATGGATGAGCAGCTTGCAAAGGTGGTCCCCCACCTTGCAGATGGAATGATAGAATTCTCCAGAGTTGAGAGGTGGTCTTTGAGCGAGAGTGAGAAGTGAGCTTCTTCTTTCCACAATGGGGAGATGGAAGCTGGTGTACCTCATTTGGGATTTCAGTTTTAGTCCTTCAGTTGGTTTTTTAAACTTATCCTGGATCCAGAAAGCTAGTTCCTTTTCTGATTCTCCTTTTATCATCAAATCAAATAGAATTTACCCTGAGAAACACTGTGCTCTGAACCACAGCTGCTGGCAACCTCTCATATCCCAGCCCTAAAAATTAGCCCTGGGGCCACATCCATTCAATGAAGTCGTTTCTTCATAACTCAGTCCCTGGTCAGTCACAGTGGAACCTGGACACCAAAGACACACTTTGTCTTCTAACCCAAAGAAGGTACTAGAGGAAGAAGGAAGCTCCCAGCACCACAATGCTAAACTTTGCTCTCTGCTAGCCTCTGCTTGGTATGAGCAAGTCATCTTGGCTACGAGGTCCCCCAAACTGTCTCCACTACTTCTGTGTGCTCTATAAGGCTCTCCGCTTATTATGAGTTATATTAATTTTTTTAACCATTCAAAAGAATGTTCTGTATCAAGGGCTACCCTTGCCTAGCCATTTAGCCCTCAGATGCTGAGATGGTGGGCTGAGGGCACAGCTCAATTCACATTAAGGATTCTGGTCATTGGGGTCGCATTTGATCATGACTTTCAACCCCAGTCCCTTTTTGGATGTTTCAAAGGCCTCCACAGCCTTCTCCAGAGGAAACCTATGGGTGACTAAGGGTTTCACATTCAAAGACTTGGAGGCAAGCATGGAAATCGCCATTGGCCACCTGAAAAAGATCACAAGCATTTCACTCAACCTTCAGAAAGAGTCAGTCAGGTCCCCCCAAAAGTACCAAGCACAAAAACAGAGTAGTCATATTTTTTCTAGCACAGTGCTTCTGCAAGGCCAGTTTTATAGAGCGACAAAGCAAGAAATGACCCATAGCTTATAACGTGTAGGCACAGAGACTGCTTTCAGTTACCCGACCCCTGTCCCCATCCCCTCACTTTGTAAGGTCTGTCATGAAGCCTAGAAGTTCTTTGGCATGAAGGCACAAGCTATCCTATGGAGTCCACTATGAAAAGGCACTAAACCTCAGGGAAGCAGCTTAGGAGAGCCCAGGACAATCCAGGTGCATCAATGAGTGGCCCAAGTTGGCAGAGTTTACTGGAAAAGTGGTGCTCTGCTGAGAACATGAAGTTATAAACTGGGAGTAAGAGACATCACTGAGGAAGTATGCTCCAGGCAGAGGGGAGCAGCAGAATACAGGTGGGATGAATTAAGACCTCCTCTTCCCCAGGATGGATCCCTTATTCCCTTTAAAGGGGAGAAAATGGAGCTCTGGCTACTTAAGGAAATGGAAAAGAAAAGGGCTATGTGACAAGGGGTAGACACCCACTAAGACTGTGTTCCCAAATCCCTCTCCCTGCCTGTTCCTCCCTCTAAGGAAGAAATACATGTTCTTTCTTAGCAGCCCTATCATATCATGTGCTACCAGTGTGGTCAGGGAGTGTCCCCCATGAATAAACAAGCAGAGACTCTTGGTCCGGAGAGGCTGCATGGGGCTTGCCTGGCCCCTACCTGGCAGCTGGCCACCTTGGCTCACTCTCAGCATACTCACGTGTTGCAGTAGCGAAACACACCCTTGATATCCACCTCTCGGACAGCTGCGTGCATTAGGGGTATGGTGGCCATCTCGGACCCCATCCCCACAATCACCAGGGTCCCACCAGAGCGAGTGACCTGAAGAATAAGTAGTGACAAGAAAACTCAGAGTGCAAAAGGCTCAGAGAACACGATTCTTGCTACATCAATGAATTCTTCAACATGCCATCCAAACTCAACAGAGCAGTGCAGTAAACATCATCTTTTAAAGATCCTGAAATAGTCGACTGGTGGAGACCCAGAGCAGTGGGGACATCTTCCAAATCATTAAAAATCCAGTACCAGCTGGGCATGATGGCATGCCTATAATCCCTGCACTAAGGAAACTGAAGCAGGAGGATTGCTGAGACTTCAAGTCTAGCCTGGGCTACATAGTGAGTACCAAGCCAGCCAGGACTACATAACAAGACCCTATCTCAAAAAAAAAAACAAAAATAAATAAACAAACAAATATTCAACACCAGAAGCTAGAGCCGGCCACTTCATGTTCCAGTTTCTGTTCGTCCTGTTCCTCTCGACAGTACCCCCAACAAGGCAGGACTTTCAACAGACTTCTAAGGAACTGCCCTCTGAGCTCATCAGCAGTCCAGAAAACTGCAGCTATTACACGCACAGACTATTGGAATTTTTTGGTTTAAAAACAGCTTTCTCCACATTGGCTTAAAGAAACCATTCAGTGCTGGAAGTGTTCACTCCAAAGGTATCAGGCATAAGGGATTTTGTCTTCACTGAATATTTATCTGGAAAAAAATCAGTGCTCTGCTAAGTTCACAAAAGTACAGACTCTAGTGACCCACTCCCCTCCTTTAGGGTGTCAGTGGTGGTAGAATATCTCCTGACAATATCCATGTAATGCCATAGTGTAATGGCACATGACTGGAGTACTGGCCACGTGGCCTCCTGGGGACTGCTGTGTTTCCTGTTGTGAGAAACAGAAGAAAACACAATTCATTCCTGCCCAGTTCTCATGATAGCAGTGGCAGCAAGCACATACCAGGACCATTCTGAGTGTTAAAAGGAAGAGCCACAAAAAGGCACACAGCACAGCCAGTATGAGGGGAGGGATACGGAAATGCCATGAAGTGTGTATGTAGATAAGAGGCAGAACTCCAGGACTGGAGCGGCATGAGGGACTCCTACTGTTACGGCCCCCCAGCAGCGAGACTCTAGACTACCCTCTCAGCCAGCACCTCATGGGTAACAGTCACAGAGTTTGGCATTACTATGGGCTCAACAATTGGCCGTTTTATGTTTTTTGTTAAAGAACAGGATCACAAACTACCTGGGAATATATATGCAATGGAAAAATGTCACTGTCCCCACTGGAAAAATGGGAGAGGGGTCAAAATTGTGAATTGAGTCACAGAAAACTCTCAAGAAAAATTCCAGGAAAGCTGTTTTCCCTTCAGCAATTGCTCTCCCAGATGATGAGGCCATCCTAAACAGTAGGGGCCAGAAGTTCACTGACCATAGGCCAAGGGTGTTCACACTGTGGGTGTGGTTGATGCACCAAGAGATGCCTTCAGTTCTACTGGAGGGCACCTGCCACATCTCATAAAACCATCCAGTCACCTCCAGTCACATGATGCTCAGCTATATCCATATATGGTGCTGCTGCCTGACTTGCCCATTGGCAGGGTGGCCATAGCATTCTGCAGTACCTCTCAGACATGATGACTCCACCTATGTCAGGAGAGAGACTGCTTCATGCCTGGTAAGCCCCTTGGGTCACATTCACCTCTACATTCACCTCAGATATCCTGGCAACTAGCCCTCACCGTCAACTACTTAGAGGTGACATCTGTTCCTAAATGCCAGGGCAGAAGAGGAAAGAAAGCCATGTCCACTAAGTCTCTCAGCTTCCACTGCCTTTCTGTGGAGTACTATCACTGACCTACTAACCACTGGAAGATAGGAGACACATTGTCCTTGTTGTTACAGACCACAGTACATCTAACTCAAAGTCTGGCATGCAATAGGTACCCAAGATGTGCCATGAGTAGATCTACCACACACAGGCCCATCATCTATCTGGGTTCTCTTTGTCCTTTCCCACAGGGAAACCACTGGCTGTGACAGTGAAGCAGAGGGCTGGCGTGTGAACTCCAAGAGAAACTCAGGACAGGGCCAAGTGACACCTGCCCATCCCTCCTATCCCCACCTCTGCCCCCAGTGGCACTAAGCATCTTGGTAGGAGGAAGCGCAGCAGCTCTCCAACAGTGCCAGGCCTGAGGGTGTGTCATAGCTGAGGTGTCAGCCTTCCTGGAATATCTCAAGTGCTGCAAAGTGCCCCGTGCATGAACTAGCAGTGACTCAGGAGGGTGGAAGCCCAAGGTCTTGAGGGAAGCAGTCTGGGAGGCAGGGGCAGAAGCTCCCCTCAGACCAGCCCCTCTCATTCTAGCACTTGTGTATTCACTCTTTCCCATTCCCTAATAAGCAACAGGACCAAATGGGGGAAAGCTCAAATGCTTGGGCCAGTCAGGGCTGGGCTTGACCCTGACTCAGTCACAGAGTGTAGGAATGTGAAGTCAAGTCCCCAGGAGACTCTGCATTAAAATGATAACTGATTTTCAGGACCATTATGTAGAGGCATCATGTCTGTGCGCCCAGCAGAGGGCTGCCATACACTAGGACTCAGAACCCAGAAGCTAGGCTTTCCCCCTTTTTCCCTTGGACTTTGATCTGTCAGTGCCACTCCCTCCCCCAACCCCAACTCCCTCTCCATTTCCCATAAGTTGCCAGTGGGGTGGGACCCTGAGGGGCAAATCAGGCACAGGCAGCTTATCTGTTCCTATTTCTGAAAGACAGGATACCACCAACCAACTCTGACCTCACTCTGTGACTAACTAAATTAATGGCTGTTGTTTTGTATCAATGACTCAAAGACTAGTTTCCCTCAATAAAACAATGTAGGATTTTCCCATTCATCTAGGCATGCTGCCCTGCTCCTCCTGCTGATGGTTTCACCAAGAGTACTGCTTCACAATCACCAGCATGATTCTAAAGACAGTCCATCCTGAAGGCGGGTAGCGGGGGGGCAAACAACATTTTTTACAGGCTTATGTGTATTTTCATATTTGAGCCTCATTATGACTTAATGAGGATTTAAAGCAAATATTATCATCTCCATATGAAAACTACCGAAACAAAGTATGGCAAGATTAGCTAATTCTGCTTGGGTGTCAAACAGTCACTTGATAGAGCTTGATGGCAGGTCTCCTCGTTTCTGCTTCCTCCTCTACTTTACTCCAGTTCCCCAAAGCTGCCCACCAGCTAGCTGCCCTCAGCCCACTCACATAGATGCCCGTCTGGATGGAGGGTTCGGCTCCTGTGCATTCAATGGTGACATCCGGCTTGCTTCCCAGCAGATTTTCCACTTTACTAGCGATTTCTGGAGGGCTCTCCTTGGTAATTTGGAGGACAAAATCAGCCCCGACTTCCTTGGCTTTGGTCAACCGAGAAGACGACAAATCTAAAAGAAAGCAGGAATTCTTTCAAACTGAGATACCAGATAACTGAATCGGGAGAAAATAAAATGGAGGTGCAAGCTCTGAGGCAGCAATCTCTAGTGTGGAGTCAAACAGCTGAGTACAACACATTCTATACCCTTACACACTGCCCACCATGTGCTACATATGCACACATGTTCATAGATACCCTTTCCTTACACAAAACATACGCCCTTCTATATTTCTACACAGCCTCATATATACCACATGCTCAGGCACAAAGACCAAGGGCTAAGCCCCCTCTCACTGCTAAGAGGGTGGTGTGCAGTCCACACATAAGGAGCCACATTCTCTCCTCCACAGCAGCTACTTTCTCCCTTCACAAAAGAGACTTGAGCCCTGAGTTGGTCATCCCTGGGTTGGCCTCTCAACTCCAGGTCCCAGGAGAAAGGAGGGAGAGCCCCTTTAGAAACCCAATACTTCAGGAAGTACTGTGGTTTGTCCCCTACAGGCTCACATGCTAAAGGTTTGGTTTCCAGGGTGGAGTTCTGAATCTCCAGGAGGTAGGACCCAGTGCAAGGCAGTGCAGTGGCAGGTTTGGATCTCAATACCAACATTCTGTTTTCTCGTCTCACCACAGAACATGTTATGGTGATGCCACCTGCTATGGGGCCTTCACCAGAGACTAAGCTAACAGGGCTGCCCAATCCTGGAGGTCTTTCCCTCTGAAACAGTGAACTAAATAAACCTCTTTATAAGTGTTTAGACTCAGGTATATTTTTTACAGACACAGAAAATGGACTAACACAGAAAGAGATCAGGCCTCATTCACTGCCTGCCCAAATTGCAGGCCCAGCTGTTTCCTTCTCAAGAAGATTTTTAAAAAGACAAGCTTCTTACCAGTCACCACTACTTGAGCTGCTCCCATTGCCTTGGCCACAAGCAAAGTGACAATACCAACTGGCCCTAAAAAAGGCAGAAAATGAAGATGGCTGTGTGTTACTAAACATCAGTTTTCCATACGCCTGGCCCCAGACAGGGACCATTTTTGTGTGCTTATGTGTTCCTAGTGTGCTTGTGTGTTCCTAGTGTCTATCCAAGTGCCTGGCACACAATAAGGTTTCGAAACTGTTCATGATCACAGGTGTGCATGAACAACTGCGGCGAGAATTGTTCTCAAGTAGAAGAGTAGATTCATTCATCAGAGCTAGAAATACTTCACTTATTTTCAAGACACTGCTGGGGACAACTGCAAAGAATCAGAAGGTCTAGATACATTTTCCTGACTCCTACCTTCATGAGAACCCACTGCCCCTCCCCAAGGAGAGACACATCCTTTCTTGGCACCTTCAGGGGATCCCCTTTTAGTGAAGTGGGTCCCTGCTCAGCTACCCTCACTTGCTTCCACAGTATTTGCTTATTAAAAGATACAGTGGTTTTTGGTTTGTTTGTTTGTTTGTTTGTTTGTTTGTTTGTATTTTTGGGCCAGAGTCTCCTTGTAGCCCCAGCTGACCTGGAACTCACTAAACAGACCAGGTTGACCTCAATCTCACAAAGGTCTGCCTGCCTCGGCCTCCCGGGTGCTGGGATTAAAGGCCTGCACCACCACGTCTAGCTATACAGTGGTTTTAATATAAAGCCAAGACCCAGAAAATGGGGCAATAAGGAATACTTTCTCAGTTTGGTTTTGGCATATACCTCTTAAAAAAAACTTCCCCCTAGGAAGCAAAATGCTGAAAAATACCCAAAAGGTCCAAAAATATTTATTGGTTATATATATTACAGAGAGGGTTACTAAACAGCTTTAAAAATTATGCCATGGACTAGGGAGATGGCTCAGCTAAGAGTTAAGAGCATTGGCTGCTCTTGCAGAGGACTCAGGTTCCGTTTTCTGTGCCCACAATCCGATACCCTCTTCTGACCTCCATGGGTACTGCATGACATGGGCGCACTTACATACATGCAGGAAGTACACTCATACACATAAAATAAAATAAATACTCAAAAAAAATTATGCCAGAACTCTGTATCTACTGACATGGAAAAATGTTTACAGAATACTGATCTTCTAATTACATTTATTATTATGTGTGTGCTCATGTGGAGGTCAGAAAACAACTCATAGAAGTCTGTTTTCTCTTTCCACCACGTTGGTCCTGAGACTTAAACTCGGAACATCAGATTTGGCAGCATGTGCCTTTAACCACTGAGCCATCTTGCTGGCCCAGGATACTGACTTTTTTAAAGGAGTAGGCATAGGACATGGTGGTATAAAGCCTGTAAGCCCAGCACTCAGGAGACTGAGGCAGGAGGATCATACATTCAAGGCTAGCCTGAGTTACATAGCAAAACTGTGTCTCAAAAGTCATAAGTCATACACAAAACCTAGCCAGGCATGGTGGCACACACCACCATTTGTCACACAAGACAAATCATGGCCTGTGAAAGGGGTAGGTAAGCCCTGGAGGCATGAACGGTTGTTAGCCGCAATCCCAGCACTTAGCCAGATGAAGGAGGGTCATGATCTTAGCTGGCTACATAGCAAGATCTTAGCTCCAAAGAAAACAAAACAACTAAAATTATATCATTCTGCACCAAAATATCATTCTCTCAGGCTGACAGGCTATGAATGCTATGTATGTGTGTGTGTACATGGATGTGTGTACATGCATTATGTAGACAGTCTTTCCTAGGACAAAAAGGTATTGCTTAGGCAGATTTTTAAAACTCCTTGTCACAGAGGCCTGCAGTCTTCTGGCTCACTGAGCCAGGTCTGTTCCACATCCATCATCCCTCTTAGCAAGCCAGTGACAGCTTAGTTTGCCCTGCCGAAGAAAATCGTTGACAAACATGTGTAAGAAAGACTGGCTTGTATTGAAAAGGGAGAGTATGTGCGTGTATGTGCTCGTGTGCGTGTGCATTCATGGTTGGGTGTGTCTGGGTTACAAGCAATTAAAAGCCACAAATGGCTTGATCTGAGGCCTCTGTGGCTTGTTCTCAATGGCTAGAGCAGGAGGTGGGGAAGGCAGAGGGCTGAAACCCCTAGGTGGTGCTGGCACAGGGTGGCCTGAACTCCCTTTCTCTGGCTGGAGACAGGGCTTACCTACCTCTTTCACAGGCCATGATTTGTCTCATGTAACTTGCAAGCTCCAAAAGTTACCCTTCCCTTTATTGCCCAAAATATTTCCCTAATTTCTATCAAGGGTTCAAATCTAATTTTAAGACTCATTATTTAAGTGGATAAAGGATAATATTGCCTAAGAAATCTAATGGTAGTTACTACTGTGTATTTATTTATTTATTTATGTATTTATTTATGTATTTATATTTGTTTTGTTTCGTTTTTTGAGATCACAAGTGCACGCCACCACATCCAGCTCAGACATTTCATTAATTTAGCAAAGTGTTGGTCACTGAGAGAACAAGATTGTAATCCTCCCCTACCCAGAAAGCTTCTAGAACCAATCCCAGCTCTTAGAGGGGAAGGGAACAAGGAAAGGATTGCCACATCCCAGCCAGTGAACCCACAGCCAGGCGTCTGCTTCTTACCAGCTCCGCACACTAAGACCTTGTTCCCCAGAGAGACTCCACCTCGTCGGCAAGCATGGATCCCCACAGACAGTGGCTCAATCAGGGCCCCTTCCTCAAAGGTGACACTGTCAGGAAGCCTAAGAAGTAATCCAACATGTATGATTAGACCCTCTGACTTAACCAGGGTACTAACGATAACAGTAGCACTCTAACACTATACTATTGTCACAGTGCATATTATATATGCTCAAGGTCACTATAACAACAGGTTATATTTTGTAAGCATTTATCTGTGTGCACAGCACTGTGCTAAGCACTTTACTTATATTTGCTCATGTCAATCTTAGAGTGGTTCTGTGGTGTTACTATTCCCATTTTGCTGGTGAAAAACTAAGGCTTCAAGGGTTAAATGACTTATCCCTAAAGTTCAAAGCTAGGGCTCAAATAGTTTGAATTAGAAGCTAGATTTTGTTTGGTTCCAGGAGCGATGCCATACTGCACCTATGAAAATAATTTTCTTTTGAGAAATCACTTCAGAATTCAGTGAACACATCAAGTTTTCCAAGGATTTTGTTTGTTTTGTTTTTTCAGTGCTCAGGACTGAACCCAGGATTTGCACATGCGAGGCAAGCAAGCACTCTACCACTGAACAACACCCCTGGCCCATATTCTGTGTTTTTCTAACATGCTACCTAAGCTAAGGTATGGTATTATTGTCATCAATGAACAAAAGCTCATCCAAAAAAAACTCATCAAACAAGGGGTTACCAGCAGCTAAACTTCTTAAATTTGAAGTGCTTCTGGTTTCACTCCGGCAAATGATTTCAAGCATCAGCAGCTTTGCAGAACAGTGACAACAGTGGGCATCCGCCTATCATGTATTCTGGAACCATATCTGGTGGCAGCAGCTGCTTGGCTTCCCCAGGACTAGCTAAAATGGAAGCAGGGCCGACCCCACAGAGCCGATGAAATGCTGTCACTTTCACCACTGGGTTCTTGGTTTTTCATTTCTGAGTCCACTGCCATCCCGACTCTATCCACAATCCCACTGATTTGCAGAAGGCCTTACAGACTAGAGCTCTTTCTACACATTACCTCATCTAACCCTCAGGACAACCCTGTCGGGCATGCAGGACAGGTTTTATTTCCACCTTTATTCTTCAGAAGAGGAAACTGAAGTTCAATGACATTCAGAGACTGGCCCAAGGTTATAAGGCTGATTCCAATCCAAACTTAAACCAAGGAGTCCTGATTGGACATCCTTATCTGGCCCACATCTGCTGCCTCTTTGCAAAATTGGCTCTGGGGCTCATATTTAACTTCTACTGGTCCCTTGCTAGACACTGTTTACCTAGTGGCTAGTGCCCCCAAGACCCGCACATGCAGGAACTTTCAAGTTCCCCAAAGAAGTGAAGGTGGCAACTAGACCTTGTGTTCACCCCCTCAGTCCTCATGTCACTGTTCCCAATCCTTATGGAACAAGCTGTCAGGCCTGTGGCTGATGGGGCTTCCTCTGCCCTCCCCTCTGCTTCTCTTACATCATTTTCCACAGTCTAACCCACATTCCCCTTGTCCTACAGGCATATTCCATATAAGGGGGAAATGCTTAAAAATGCAATAATGAAGATTCCAAACTCTCAAGGGCTGCCTTCTCCTTACACATACACAGACTCTCAGATATAACACCCTGTCCCTTCATAGCCAGGCTTTCCACAGAGCTCAGAGTGGCTCTAAGCCTGGCACTCCCCTCCCCTCCCTCAGACTTCTCCTTAGAATAAGAACAGCAAAGAGAAAGAAGGTGGGAGTGGGAGAGTGGTGAGAGAGGCCTGCTGACCAAGTATTCTACTCCTCAAGCAGGTGCTGCCTCCTCCCACCTGCACCCAACACAGCCGACTGAGAGCAAGGCTCCTGGCAAGATCAGGAATCTTAGAGCAGCCCTTCTGCCACTGACCAGGAGACAAGGAGAGGGGGACTCCAGGTTTTGATTTGACCTTTTGTAACTTTATGAAAAACAGGGGACAGGCAACAGGTTTTACAAGAGGATTCAGGGGAAAAACAAGAGTAAAACCTGATCAAGGCTCCAAAGAGGGATCTAGAATCTGGAAGATATGGGGTAGGAACATAAAGAGATAGTGGCAATGTAGGAATTCTCATAAACTCAAGAGAGGAAGGCTGGGGTCCAGGGCTGCACAGGGGAAAGAGGCAGAAAGTACCTTTGGAAGAAAGGCATAGGTTATATGGCCCTCAAAGAGCCTCCTCAGCTCTGCCATAGCCACTGATAACCAGAACATCATTTACTGTTATACCCCATACCCATCCTAGCACAAGGCCCCCTTCTCAGGACTGATCCTGTACCTCCATCCCCAGGCAACAAGGCCAAGGCTAAGGCTGAACTTTGTGTCATTACTGAGCATATGCCATGTGCCACATGAACCACTTGATAAGCTTTTCTCATTGAATTTTACTAGCTATTCTATGAAGGAGGCACTATTATGTCCATTTTATAGGGAAGGATATTGAGATTACAAAATTTAAGGACCTTAGTCAAGGGCATACAGTGAGCAAATGGCAGAGACCAGGTTTTGTCTTGAGCTTTCTACTTGTTCTTCTGCCATCTATGAAATTGTTGAGGATTAACATGGCAAAAGACCCAGAGAAAAGGTGGGTTGATTCAGGAACCACTTGATGAAAGATATGCCCAACCTACATAGTCTGCTTTCTTCTAGAGTAGGCTCATGTGTTAGCTTAAATCGTCACAAGGTCTCTAGCCTATGTCTCCTGTCTGGGCTTCCAAGGAGCACTAGAAAAACTCAGGTCTAGCCAGGTGTGGTGGTACGTCTGTAACCTCAGTACTTGGGAGACTGAAGCAAAGGGACTGCTATGAGTTCAAGGTCAGACTGGACCACAGAGTGAGTTATAGGCCACCTTAAACTAAATAATGAGATCTTACGTCAAGAAGAAGTGGGGGGGGGTGAGGAGGAGGAGGAGGAGGAGGAAATCAATCAGATTTGCCAGATTACCTCTATGTCTGTCTCACACTCAGCCTCCATCACATAAATCCCACTCTGGCTGAGGGCTGCCACTGGGGTCAGGGGAAGAAGGAAGGAAAACATATGGGCTGGATAAGAACACACCAGCAGCCTGGCGCTCCAGGGTGGAATGTGCAGCACTTTGCTTCTCTCAGATGTAACTTCTCAACCCAAGACCATTCCAGACAAGACTTAGGTAGTGTAGTAGGCATAGGGCAGGGGCAGTTTGCCACCTGGCTCTGTCCTGTGCCTAGATCTGTTACCTTCCTCTGCCTCAGTTAAGCCTGGCATAAAACTGTAACAATGGTGCCCATCTCATAGTTGTTCATAAGAAGGCATGCAAAGCACTTATTATATGCAAGTACACATACAAAGTAATAATAATTATGACTTTACATGCATTGCCTAATTTTGTCTTCTGTTGATTAAATGAAATAAAAGCAGAGGAAGGGTTAAATCATCTCCCCAAAGTCACAAGGAGGGAATGGACCCAGAATGCCAGGACTCATCCTGGATCACACTCAGTCTCACTAAACATCTGCCAGGTGTTGCTATTAGTGGTGGTTTTTTTGAGTCCCTGCTGTAGGTGCCCTTTCTGTGGCTGCAGTGAAAATCAAAACGGAGGATGGGTTATGAAAAGTTTGCGCCAGAATGGCTGGAGGAGGTGAGTGATTTCAGCAATGATTTTCTATTGTTTCAGGTGATGAGAAGTTAGAAAGACAAACCACTGTGAGTCAGTTTGAACCCCAGGTAGGCTACTGTCCCTTGATGGCACCAAAAAAGGCAGGCCTCCCAGGCAGATGCCTCACATTTAAAATTATAAGATGAAAAGAATAAAGAAGCCACATAGAAGGAGAATCATCAACCAACCAATGGAAAAGAAAGAGGTCCCAGGGGTACAGCTGAGCTATAGGCACTAACTTGTAGCAGAAGTCAGCACTGTGCTTATAGAACCGGCAGAGATTCCCATCATCAGGTGGTGTGGCACAGAAGAAGATAGATGGCGACAGATTGTATCGACCAATCTTGCAGAATTCATCTGTTTCTCGGGGGGCACCAGGCTCAATGGCAACACGGTCCCCTGGAGAGGAAAACAAGAGTGTTCAAGAACAGAAGCAGAGCCCAACTCCTCCTGGGCCTGGCTCTGTTTTCCAATCTCTAGGCCAGTACCAGATGGGAGAATCTAGCCTAAGGAGCCCCCTCTTCCTTGGAGACCCAGGTGCCTTCTCCCCTTCACTTTCCCTTCCTTTCCCTCCCCTCCTTTGCCCTTCCCTCCCATCTCCTCCTCTATGAGGGAATCTCACTTGTTAGCCCAGGCTGGCCTCAAACTCTCAGCAATCCTTCTGCTTCAGCTTCCCGAGTGCTGGGATTACAGGTGAGAGCCACCACACCCAACTCTCTCAGTGCTTCTACAGGGGGCACATAACCCAACAAAGATTCATACTCTGGAAGGAAAGGGCCAGCCCACTTCTCCACTAAAAGATGTGGCCTACACTTGTGACAAGTCAACCTGCTCCTCCAGATCCATGATCACTCTCCTGAGAAGCACAGAATCAGTCCTGTCTCTAAAAAGAAAACCAGGTAGGCTCCCCCATTTCAAATTGTTACAGAAGGGGTATTTACTATATAAAGTAGGGAGATTTTTTTTTCTTCACCCAAGGCCTTTACAAATAGAAGAGCTATAATGATGGCCTGGTTTATGTTCAGTTCAGTTTACACAGGAACTAGGAGTCAGTTGATTCCAGGTTAGCTAATTACAAAAGTCAAGGACCTGCAGAGGCCTTAGCCTATGGTACAGTGGAGAGTAATGATTAGTTTATAAACAGTTGGCTGTAATAATCTGTCTCACTACCCAACTGAAAACACAGTTCAGTAATTGCTGTTTTCCTCCTTTATGGTGAAAATTACCAGATATGTATCTAAGTTCAAGGACTTGTACAGTGAACACCCAGATACCTTCCACCTAGACACTTCAAGAGCATTTACTTGATCTTGTATTTATCTATCTATCTTCCTTCCCATCTCTCCATCTACAACTCTCCTCCAATTATCAATCTATCTTTTTTTGTCTGATTGGTTTTGTTTTTCAAAGTCTTATGACAGAGCCTAGGCAGACCTTGAACTCTCAATCTTCTTGCCTCAACCTCCAGAATGCTGAGATTATAGCCATGCACCACCACATCTGGCTATCTTTTTTTTTTTTTGTCTTTTTGAGACAGGGTCTCCTCTCCCTGTAGCCCCAGCTGTCCTGGAGCTCACTATGTAGACCAGGCTGGCCTCAAACTCACAAAGATCCACCTGCCTCTGTCTCCCAAGTGCTAGGATTAAAGGCGTGTGCCACCACGCCTGGCTTCTATCTTCTTTTTTAAAAAATATTTTATTTTTATTCTATGTGTATCAGTGTACTGTCTACATGTATGTAAGTGCACCATGTCATGCAATGCCCTTGGAGGTCAGAAGAAGGTGTTGGATCCCCTGGAACTGGAGTTACAAATGGCTGTTAGCCACTATGTGGGTGCTGGGAATTGAACCTGGGTCCTCTGCAAAAGCAGTCAGTGCTCTTAACCACTGAGCCTTCTCTCCAGCCCCTCTATCTTCTTTTATAATTTCTAAGTAGACTAAAAATGTTAGTCACCTTTTAGCCAGCATATCATTTACTAGAATCCAATAATGGCTTATGGTTATCTAACTTAAAATATAGATATAATGAACCACACAAGACTTAAAGTGGCTCATTAGATGAATTCATCTATCTCTGTGTGCTGGACAGCTTTGGTGTCAACTTGACACACCTGGGTTGAGGGAGCCCCAATTGGGGAATTGCCTTCATTGGACTGGCTTGTGGCCATGTCCATGGGGCAACTTCTTGATTGTTGAGTGATGTGGGAGGGCCCAGCCCATTGTGGGTGGTGCCACCCCTGGGCAGGTAGGCTTGTGTTGCATAAGAAATCAGGCTGAGCATGGGCCAGGGGAGCAAGTCAGTAAGCAGTGATCCTCCATGGCCTGTGCTCCAGCTCCTGCCTCCGGTTTCCTGCCCTGAGTTCCTACCTTGGGCTCCCTGATGAACTGTGACCTGGGAAATGTAAGACAAATAAACCCTTTCCTCCCCAAGTTGGTAGTGGTCAGTGTGTTTTGTCACAGCAATGGAAAAACAAACTAGGACACTCTGTTTCCTGACTGTGGATGTGATGTGACCGGCTACTTCAAGTCCTGCTGCCTTGAGTTCCCCAGCATGATGGACTTGTACCTTGAAATGTGAGCTGAAATAAACCTTTTCTCCCATTAGAAACAAAACCAAACCAAAAAGCAGTGGATCATTAGATAAATATTGACAAACACCTTTTCCCAATATGGTCACTGGATGTATATTGTACATATACATACATACATACATACATACATACATGAAGGCAAAACATACACATTAATGAAAATGCCCATCAAGACACAAAACATTACAACCACCTCAGAAATGTTATTCCTTTTTGTCTATTCCTAGCCAATTCCTACCCTAACCCCAATGTTTTGATTCTGTTGGGTATAGATTAGTACTGCTTATTACAGAACATAGGAAAGGGGGATCATGTAGTACATAGTCTCTGCATCTGGCTTCTTTCACTAAGCATGTTTTTCAGGTTGATACATGTTGTGTATCAACAATTTGTTCTTTTTTGCGACTGAATGGCATTCCATCATGTGAGTTTAGCACAGACAGCTTTCTCATTCTCTTGTTCATGAACAACCCATCGTTTCCCATCTTTAGTTGTTTTTATGAATATCATCTAAATTGAGAGTATCTCAAGATAGTCACATCTGCTTCATATATATTTCTTAGTGATAAAAAGAGAGAAATGAATTAGAAACATTTTGATTGCTAAACATGAAAATTTTCAATTGGGAGGAAAAAGAACCTTAGAAGATACTAGTATTTAGAAAGGCCTTACGTATTAGCAAAAGTTTCCCCTGGAACATGTAAGTAAAGGCTGTTGGTCAAAGACAATGTAATAGTCCCCTGTTACAAAGGTAAAGCATAGAGACACAAACAATTCAAGGCAAAGAGCTATTCCAAGGTTAAGATGGTACGGACTGGGGTTGGAGAGATGAGATGGCTCAGTGGCTAAGAGCACTGGCTGCTCTTACAGAGGACCTAGTTTGGTTCCCAGCACCCATATGGAGGCTTAGAATAGTCTGTAACTGTTCCAGGGGATCTGATGTCCTCTTCTGCTCTTCTGGCCTCTGTGGCCACTGGATGTATGTTGTACATATACATACATACATACATACAAACATACATGAAGGCAAACCATACACATTAATCAGTCTTAAAAAATAGATGGTTCAGATGGCTCATCTTAGTGCTGTGACCAGGCCCTGCACACCAGAACACAGACAGCCACTGTGTTTGTGCAAAATAGAGTAGTGTTGCAGGAGGCTTTACTATTGCAGTGCTGCTACACATTGAAGCTACAACTGGACTCAAACTCCATCTGAACCTGAGGAGTGATTCATACCAGCTAAGCAGAGACTAGCTTAGAAACTCTGGCAGGTCCCCCTGCTCAGGCAGGGAGACCAGCTCCACAGCAAGAAGGAGAAATCTCCCCTCTCGTGGCCAGAAACAAAGCTGGAGACGGACAAAAGCTGAAAGAGTGAGGAAGGAGGCCCTGGCACACAAGCTTGGGTGATGATCCACAGCCCTTATCCTGTTACAGTACCTGTCCTTCAGGATCTTGGTGGACAGATCCCATTGGGAAGCAGTGCTTAAATCTACCCAATAGGATAGAGTTATTAATGATAGCAGGATCAAGCATGGCATTTATCAGGTGCCCACAGTGTGTCAGGAAGCAGCAAAATGAATCACAATCTCACTTCTTCCTCAGCACAGACCAGCAAGGTGCTACTACCCTGCTTTAGAAACAGGAAAGCAAAGCTCAGGGGTCATGGTTACAACTAATGGCAGCTTCTCTGAACTTGTGGAATTGAATGTCTTCAGATCCTGAAGGGGATGCTACAATCCTGGAAAGAACCCAGGAAGGTGCGATTGTTTATTCAGTAGATGTGTTAAGTTATTTTTTTTGTAAGCCTTTTGTGTTGAAAGTACCCACTAACCAGTGTAGAATCTTGTTAGTCACTGCTTGTCAAATGTAGAGATGGTAACAGTGATAGTCGAAGCAATAATATATCATCATAGAAACTCTGCATTAGTCATTATAATGATTTGAACCAGCATTATTTAATAGGAAACTCAAACTATAAGATATCCAGTTCATAAATGAATTGGGAAACGTATTTATTGGGTCTTATATTAATATGCCTTAGGTTTACTGTTTTACACTGAATAAATAAATATTAAGTAATTTTCAATGAGTAGTTTTCTTCTTTTCAGATTAGTTGATTAAAACTTTAAATAATGTCTCAAAAATATAAAAAAAAAACCTTTAAATAAACAGTTGGGTGTGGTGTCATATGCCTTTAATCCTAGGACTCTGGAGGCAGAGGCAGGTGGATCTCTATGAGATTAAGGTCAACCTGGTCTACATAGCCAGTTCTAGGCCAGCTGGGGCTAAAGGGAGACCCTGCCTCAAAAAAGACCAAGGGAAAAAAAAACTTTAAATAAAAACTTTGTATTTTAAAAAACAAAAAGAAAGATTATATACTCAGCTTGACATTCAAAATGGGAGTTCTGTATTATTCAGTTTTACCTTCTACTATTATATTATGGCTATGTAACAATTTAGATTTGTACAGCACTTCTTAAGAGGGTTGTGCATCTTTATCATCTCTACTAACTCCACAGCAGAGAATGTCTGCTCCGCAAGTAGATGTGTAAGAACCCACATACATTACCTGGCCTATGTAATCTAATTGGGTCTGTCTCTCTTATCCTGAATACTGCCTCTGACCTCTTCACTAACTCAAATACAACCCTTCCCTAGGTCTCAAGATGGCAGGCAGCTCAGCAGTTCTGACATTCACTGTAGGGCCAGAAAGAACAGGGTGGCATTCTAGTTCTGAGACTAGCCAGTATGTGACTCTAGGCAAGAACCACAGTCCAATTTCTTCATCTATTAATGAAGATAATAAAGCTTATCTCATGGCATTGTCTCAATAATTAAATAATTATGCATGTAAGTGCTTAAGATGGTGGGAAATGAATAGCAAGTCATATGTGCTTTCTCTTATTATTATTTTTGTGGGCTTTGTTTTGTTTTGTTTTGTGTCTTTTTGAAGCAGGGTCTCCCTGTAGCCCCAGCTGGCCTGGAACTCACTATGCAGACCAGGCTGGCCTCAAACTCACAGAGATCTACCTGCCTCTGCCTCCCAAGTGCTGGGACTACAGGCGTGTGCCACCACGCCTGGCTTCTCCTATTATTATTATTGCCATATATCCAGCTCCAAAACCTATCCTCATGAACCTTATTTAACCATCTCTGCTTACAATAAGTGCCCTTTCTTTGACCCCTGATTATACAGTTTTTTCCTCTAACTGTAGGTATCATTAGAGTTTCTAATGTCTGGTTTCTCTAACTAGATCTATGAACCCAGGGTTCACATCTTTTCATATTTTTACATCTCTCAAAGTGCTTGACAGAAGTCTGAACCCATAGTAGACAGTGACTAAGCAGTTGTTGGAACTTAGAGAACCTGGTCCCACAGGAAAGAACCAGTCACCAATGGCTGTTGGAAGGTATGTACCTCCACTTTGGAACAACACTGTAATACCACAAGAGCTTTCTCAACTTCCATTAATGATGTCAGCAAGTCTTGACTTAAGAATCTTAAATGAAACATGTTTAACTTCTGAGCTTACCAATCCCTCTCCATGTGTCTGAGCTCAGAAACTCTACACTATTCTCTGGTGCCTCCTGCCAACCCCCAGTTTCCTCCAAATAATTTGAAGTCAGCACCACATTGTGCAATGGCCTCAATAGCAAAGGAAAGTTAATGCAAACAGTTCTTTATGCTAAGAGAGTTTGGATTTAATCCATTGTGTTGGGGGACAATATAGTCTGCGATAGCTAAGAATTCCTTTCTCTGGGAGAATCAATGAAACAAATCTAGGTTTTACTAGATTGTTGGTTTCCTAGCCATCTAGTAAAAATTTTATAGGTCCTAAGGAGGACCCTACTACTGTTGTTTTGCTAAATGGAAATGTCAAACTGCCTTTTAAATATTTATGTTTATACATATAGATTAGTGCTGCTCTCAATCTTGACCAGAGAGGCTTCTCTCTACAGTGATTAGCAGTCAATGCAGAGACTCTTAAGTGGGCAATGTGATGAGAACAATGACTGTTGACTGCCCAGCCCTAAATGGAACATCTATATCAACTTCCCACCTCCACCCCCAAAGCTCAAGGAACATCACAGAAAAGGGAAAAGAATATAAGAGCCAGAGGATGGGAAGGAGTGCTGTGAAATGTTGTCTTCTGGACATGACATGGCCATTGCATTCATGAGCTCACTGCAGCTATGGTCACCTGCATAAGACCTTCACAAGATCAAGCCAACAAAACCAGTCACCATTCCAACAGACAGTACTAATTGGACTCAGTGGAATAAAAAAAATAAGTAAAGGAAAGAGTGGACATGAAGAGGGACATACTGGATGCACCTGGAGGGAGTAGGAGGGATACATGGTTTACATGTGTGGCATTGTCAAATAAGAAATAAAAGATATTCTATTAAAGACTGTATGGGGCTGGAGAGATGGCTCAGCAGTTAAGAACACTTGGCTGCTCTTGGAGAGGACCCAGGTTTAGTTCTTAGTACATACATGGTGGCTTACAATCTTCTGTAACTCCAGTTTCAAGGGATCTGACACTCTTCTGGCCTCCATGAGCATTGCAAAGCATGGGTGTGCTTACACACATGTGGGCAACACTCATACACATAAAATAAAGAAATAAAAAATTAAAACTCTGGAATGAAAGACAAATCAATTAGTTTAAATTTAAAAGGGTTGGTTCTGGGGCTGAAGAGATGGCTCAGCAGTTCAGAGCACTGACTGCTCTTGCAGAGGACTCAGGTTCGATTCTCAGCACCCACATGGCAGCTACGAACTGTCCTTAACTCCAGTTCCAAGGGAATCCAAAGCCCTCTTCTGATTTCTGCGGCAATGCACAACATAGGTGCACTCACATACATGCAGGCAATACACTCATATACATAAAATAAAAATAATGAATAAAATATTTTTTTAAAAAGTTGGTTCTGAGGTTTAGCCTTGTTAAACCTACACTGTACTCTGAGATAAAAACTGAATAGAGGAGGGAAGACCAGCAAGTTAGAAGCCAGTTGGGCTACATGAGACCCTCTCTGAAAATTTTTTTTTTCTAGATCAAAGATTCTAGGTTGTAAAGCTAAACAGCTCTGTCATGGGAAAGCAGCTGTGCATTATGTACCCAGAATGCAGAGCACACATTGTCTTACAATAGGGACAGATTCTCTTTGGACACTCAGTGATTAAGGAGTATGCCTCCATAGGAAATAAATTCACATCTGGAAATGATAAAAGCCAGGCATGGTAGTTCATACCCATAATCACAGAACTCTTGAGATAGAGGCCAGCCGGGGCTACCTGGAGTTCTAAGCCAACTTGGGCTACAAAGAGAGTTCTGGGCCAGTCTGGGCTACAGAGCAAGTTCTAGGTCAGCCTGGGCTACAGAGTGAGACCCTGTCTCAAAAGTAAATTTAAAAAAATTTTTTAAAAAGCAAAGACTGCATGTAAGGTCTTGGTTCTTAATATGGAGGTGTTTGTGGCTCCCATAAATGGAACATTTTCTCTACCCCTCTTCCTGATTTATTTCACACCTGGCCTTCACACAGGTACGTGAACTGTCTATCCCTTCTTCCAAAAAAATAAGGGTCTAGATAAGACATGCTGATTCTACCACCCATATAGTCTCCTTCACACATTATGACTAATTACTTGCTTTCTTTCCCACATGTGGATAGCTTTAGTTGTCAACTTGACACACCCAGGTTGAGAGAGCCTCAATTGGGGAATTGCTTCCATTGGACTGGCCTGTGGGGCATTTTCTTGATTGTTGAGTGATATGGGAGGGCCCAGCCCATGATGGGTGGTGTGCCACCCCTAGGCAGGTGAAAACAGGTTGAGCACGAGCCAAAGGAGCAAGCTAGTAACCAGCGTTCCTCCATGGCCTGTGCTCCAGCTCCTGCCTCCAGGTTCCTGCCCTGAGTTCCTATCTTGGGCTCCCTGATGAACTGTGACCCAGGAAATGTAAGATAAAATAAACCCTTTCCTCCCCAAGTTGGTATTGGTCAGAGTATTTTGTCACAGCAATGGAGAAACAAACTAGAGCACCAGGTCTGTGCCCCTCCACCCCCCAGGTAAAAAGTAAGATTTCTACATGCTGTCTTGTTTATGGCTATACATTGGTACTTAACCAAGGGCCTGATCTCAAAAGAGCATGTATAAATACTTATGCTGACCTGGTTTTAGATGCTTCACCAGGTTTCCTATTTTTACAACTGTTCCTGAAGCTTCATGGCCAAGCACCATTGGCTTTTTCACAACAAAATCTCCAATTCGACCATGCTGCCAGTAGTGAACATCTGAGCCACAGATCCCAACAGAGTGCATCTTCAGCAGCACCTCTGAAAAGAGAAGTGAGATGGAGAAAGTAAGTGAGGGAAGGGACAGCCTTTTCATTGTGCAGGAGCAGGAGCTGGGTTCTCAAGCTTAAGTACAAAACTTAGATCTCAGAGGAAAACAAGCCTGATTAAGCCTAACAAGGCAGAACAGCTTCTTCAGAACAAATAAACCATGTGTGATGGGTAAGCTCATGTGTTGATTTGGCTAGGCTAGGATACCCAGTTGCTTGGCCCAACACCAGTGTAGACATTGCTAAGAAGGTAGAATTGTTGTGAGGGGTTTTATGGTACAATTAGCATTTAAACCAGCAGATTGTGAGTAAACCAGACTTTCTTCCATAATGTGTATAGACCTCATTCAATCACATAAAGGCCTTATGAACAAAGGCTGAGATTTCTTGAAGAAATTTTTCTCATGGCTGCAAAATATAAACCTTTTCTAAGTTTGTAGTCTGCTGCCTTACCCTGCAAACTTTGATCTTGCCTGTCCCCACAATCACAAGAATCAGTATCTTAAAATAGACTCCCCTCTTCTTTTTCCTCTCCCCTACCTCTGTATATACACATATGCATGTACATACATACATATCTTATTTGTTCTGTTTATTTGGAGAACCCTGACCAATCCTGTAGTAAAGATATTATGAGGAGGAAGTGGTATATCAACCGTTTAAGAGAACAAACTGTTTTCCAGGAGATAACTGTTTCCAGGCAACTATTATGCTGAGCCTGATTCTTAACCTATTCTTGAGACTGAGCCTGGCAGAATCTCAGCTTTCACTAAGTGATGAACTATCAGGTTGAGTTCTTCATGTTCCTTGTTTTTTAAAAAGGTGCAACTTTAATTAGCCACCCAATGATTTCAACTGGTATTTTCCCCTCCAGGAGACTGAATAAAGTGAGGCTTGGTGGTATTGTTGTCAAGTTTCAAGGTTAAAATAATGATGCTGCTGAGCCTCTAAGCTAAAATAAGTACCAAGGATTACTGGCTATGTCTGACTGAGATGACCACATTACAAGTATCTCCCTGAGAAAAAAACTCCACCTTAGAAAAAGAGACCCAAAAGCTCTGCTATGCATTTGGATATCTTAGCCACTGCCCTTGCCACAAACCACCAGCAAAATTCCACTAGATGTGGTCTGAAGAATTTTCTTTGTCTTTTTTTTTTTTTTTTTTGGTAAACAGAAATGGCAAGCTGAATTCTGAAATCAACAATTGGGAAAAATTATTGGAATTAGGAAAACTATCTCTGAGCTTTCTCTATGAAAGTTGGCAATTTGCAGCAAGGGATGAGCTCAACTTGCTGGAATGCTCACTTTCCAATGTATTTTCTCCCTTCCAATTCAAGCATTGCACAAGACAAGAGAGGGGCTGGAGAGATGGCTCAGCAGTTAAGAACACTGGCTGCTCTTGTAGAGGACCTGGGTTCAGTTCCCAGCACCCATGCAACTGTCCCTAACTTCAGTTCCAGGATATCCAATGCCCTCTCCTGGCCTCCACAGGCACTGCACACATATAGTACACTTACATACATGCAGGTAAAACACTCATACACATAAAAAGAACTTTAAAAAAAAAAGGGCAAGAAAACAAGAGCCAGCTGGGTCAGAGAGCTGCAGCTTCAGGGGGCCCTTCATTGTCCAAGACAGCCCTTGCTCGTCCACATCTGGAACCAAGCCACCTTTCAGGACATACTGAGGTACTTCACTTCTCTGAACACTGTATCTTTGTGAAAATGTTTAAGGCCTAAATTTGCATTGCTTGTTAAACACTGATAAAAATAGCTATTGTCTATATCTTATCACTGTAAGTCAATAAAGCAACTGACCTTGGCATAGCAAAGCTCAGGAGTCATCAGGAAAGCTACTTTCAATCTGATGTTCACCCAGAAGCTGTGGTTGTGGGCTGAGGTGTAGCAGGGTGGGGAGGACATCCCAGTTCATCAGGAATAGAAAGGGACCTGAGTGACCTATAGAGAGACTCTGCCCATTGCCCCCAGCCTCACCTGGAAGTCCTATAGACTATGAAGTAGGTTCTGGTGGCAGAAGATCTACCCTAGAAAACATGACTTCCCCAGGTCCTGATGCCACATCAGGAAACATGCATGTCAGCTCAGCCCAGTGGGCTTACCCAGTGAGAGGACTAGAAGGAGTGACAGGAGGTGTCAGAAGTCCTACCCCTGCATGCTCAGTCACTTTCTGTGCTTGGCTGATGAGGGCAGGGGACAGGGCTCCATGCAGCCCCTCCCACCCTGCTGGACAGAAAGACAGTCCTGGGTAACTAGTCCTGTGGGTATGCTAACATAATGCTCCTTTGCTTAACTGAGAGATTTGGTTTTATAGACTCATTCCTTTCCAATGTTTGGGTTAGGGTTAGAACATGATTTGGCAGCCCAATTGGGCAGATCCAATACTTGGTTGTTAGGTAAAAAAGAACAGTTCTGCCTTTGGTCTATACATTTCACATCAAAAACTCTCTGGGACAACTCAGCAGTTTGATCTTAATTTTTCTGGTTTTATTGCTGATTCTTTTATTTCATGGAGTAACCAAGATAAAACATTGTAGTCAATGGCCTAGAAACAGCCTAACAAAAGTATCACTTTAAAAAATTATTTTATTTTTATTTTATTTGCATGAATATTTTGCTTCCATGTAAGTGCACCACATGTATGCAGTGCCCAGGGAGGCCAGAAGAGGGCATCAGATCCTCTGGATCTGGAGTTAAGGACAGTTGTTAACTACCACATGGATGTTGGGACCCAAACCTGGATCCTCTACAAAGAGTAGCTAGTCTCTTACCCACTGAGCCATCTTTTCAGCCCCCTGGTTTTTTTGTTTTGTTTTTTAATATTTTATTTAGTATTTTTATTTTATATGTATGAGTATATTATTGCCTGCATGTAGGTGAGTGCACCTGTGTCGTGAAGTGCCACAGAGGGCTTCGGATTCCCCTGGAACTGGAGTTAAGGACGGTTCATAGCTGCCATGTGGGTGCTGGGAATCAAACCCAGGTCCTCTGCAACAGCAGTCAGTGCTCTTAACTGCTGAGCCATCTCTCCAGCCCCTTGTTTTTTTATTGTTTGTTGTTGTTGTTGTTGTTGTTGTTTTTAATGGAAGTGAAAACACAAAACAATAAGAAAAGAGGGGCAGGGAACATGTATATGCCTCCAAGGTGAACAACAGAAAGTAAAATGTCAGCTTAATTTCCCAAAGACCTACCATTCGGGCCTGGTTCAGGAACTGGGTAGTTTTCCTAAAATAAATAAAACAGAAATGGCTGTTTAGCATGCATCATAACTTCTCATTATGAACACTTTACATTTAAAAATATTCAACTAGAGTTTTACTTAAATAGTTCTTAGAACAAACACAAGCTCAGTGAGCCCTGAAGGGACACTTCAGCATGCACAGCAGACTGGAAAACCTGTCCTGTTCTTTACCACCATGCTCAACAGCACAGCCAGTGGCCAAATAATGACAAGGACAATATATTCCAAAAACCACAATCACATCTGTTGCTAGTAGCATGCCACAGAGTGGGATACAAAGTTCTGAAGCTGGGTTTCCTCCTGGGAAACTGCCAACTGCCCTGTAAGTAAAAGTCCAACTCCAGATCAGAGCTCCATGTCCACAAAGAGCCTACTCTATTGCAGACTGCATCCCACCATTGGTGCTACTGGTCCTGGATGAAGAAAAAAAGTTTGCTAGATGTATCTTCCTGCAGAAAAGGTGTCTGAGGTACTTCCTAGTCTCTAAATTTGCCTTCCATATTGGATCTTTCCATCTTGAAAATCATGTTCTCAGATACAGATCTGTTTGGTCTGACGTACTCCTACAGGGAAAGGATGAGGGTTTTTCCTGGCAGGTACGTGCAAGGGCTGCAATCTCTACAGGCAAGCGGGAGAGTGTCTAGGCTGCCATCCCCTCCCTTTACTTCAGCACAGACTGATTCCAGTCCTCCCTTCCAAAAATCTCCCATGTGGAGTTTTAGGAGCCCCTTGAGAACACACAGGACCTGCATTTGGGGCATTCTCACAGGTACAAAGCCCATCTGGGCTATTCTGGTGTTCACAGGTAGTATTAGAAGAGAATTTGTTTACTAAACTTCTTCCCACTGTCATCTGGCCAGGGTAATGTCATCTGGCCAGGGTAATGTCAGGATGACAAGGAAGGACACTGCTTGGCCAGACCCAAGTGTTCACTTTATTTAATTTGTGAACATTCAAGAAGCAGAGGGAAAAGACAATATGAAATGTTTACAGTACCTGCTGTGGGCCAGACAGTACTCTGGGCTGTCTTACCACAGAGGAGAAGCCTGAAGCTAGGAAGTTATATAACTCAGTCAAGATTCTATCACCAGACAGTGGATTAACCAGGGCTCAGCCCAGGTGTATCTGACTCCCACACCAACTTTCACTGTATATCCCAAAGTAGAGTGTCTTTTCTTCTTCAGGAGACATAAAGAGCTGCCAGCCAGAAAGTGATTGACAGGTGGGTCCTATGCATCCTGGGAAGAGGTACTGCCTAAAACTTTCCACCTTCCTGGCTGGTGAGATGGCTCAGCAGGCAAGGGCACTTGCAGCCAAAGCCTAATAACTTCAGTCCAATTCCTGGAACCTATATGGTAGAAGAAGCAAATGAACTCCTACAAGTTGGCCTCTGACTTCCACATACAAGACACATGACACACACATACCAATGTGCACATATACACAAAAAAATAAATGTTTAAAAAATAAGAGGTCTCCACCTTCCAAAAACTTCCTGAGCTGCTCTTTTCAAATTTTAATTTCATGAAACAGGATCTCAGTATGTATCCCAGCTGTACTGAAATTCACTATGGAGTCCAGGCTGGCCTTGAACTCATGATTCTCTTGCCTTGATCTTCTAATAGCTAGGATTATAGGTATGTACCACCATACCTGACTCAAGCAACTTTTATAGTCAGCCTCACAACATTAAACCACAGTGATATCATACAGCACCAAATATTGCTCACTACTACTGAAATTCTTTTGATAATAAACACCATGATATCAAATTCCATGCCTCTATTTATTCAGTACCAGGTACAATGCCTAGGGCCCAGCAGGTGGGAGGACTTAATAAATAACCACTTCACAAAACTGTGCTTCCACATAAGTTATAAATGTTTTCATTCATTTCAGACTAGTCTCTTCTGCAGAGAAAACTCAATACTAATTTTAACTCCTCTAGTGCAACAAAACCCAAATGATTATGCTAATCCTCATTGACTGGCACTGAGCTGTGGTGTCTGTCAGGTGCTGTGTGCTAAGTACTCTATAGGAATCATCTCAGTACAAGCCTGGGTACGACATCCCTAAAATATCATTTTCCCATAAACTAGGACTGAGCTACTAGGAGAGTTAGCAACCTGCCCAACTGCTGCAAAGGCCAAGGGAGAATGACCACTGCTCGACCCAGGAGCTGGAGACCAGCTGGGCAAAATAATGAGAGCCTTGTGTGAGAAAAACTAAGACTGAAAAAGTACTTAAGGTAGGTAGGTTTGTTTATTCTTTGGGGGGTTGGTTGATGTTTTCATTATTTTGTTTTAAATGATTTAAAAGAGAAGAAAAAGGAAGGAAAACAATCCACCAAAGTCTTCCTCAAAGAGTCATTGGTCTCACATTTGAAATAACACCCAGAACTGCTGTGTAAAGTCTTGTTTCTGTTACGCCGGTGAAATTTAAACTGCAAGTTCAATGGAATCTAATGATTACGTGAAACTTTACCCCACCCTCCCCACCAATGGCATTAGCGGGCAAATTCCCAGGCACTGACTGACAGTTCCAGTATACTCTCAAATCCTCACCTCCAGTTGGGGCAAGCCTGAACATCCCTTTGCGGGGTGGGAAGGTGGTGAGATTTAAATTTAGAGTAACAGTTGGTACACCAAGTAAACCCTTAGTCACTAAAGATTGCTCCTGTAATGGCTGAAAAAAATCTAACCTTGCTCCTAACACCTGTCTGTCCCTTCAGGCAAAGATGCAGAGACTCTCCAAGCCACTAGAGGGTGCGGTGCTGATAGTCTGTTTATGCTTTAGTAGCAGAAGGCTCTAAGGAGAACTTCAAAGAGTTCATCTCACACACCATTTCCCTCTCTCCTCTTTCTCTCCTCCCCCTCCTCTCCTTCCCCCTATCTCCCCTCCCTGCCTCCATACATACACACACACACACACATGTATGTCTGAGGATGATCTTGAAGTTCTGATTCTCCTGCTTCACCTTCCAAATGCTGGGATTACAGGTGTGTGCCACCACACTGGGTTTCTGTTGTGCAAGAGATGGAACCCAGGGTTTTGTGCATGCTAGGTAAGCACTGTATCAACTCAGATATGTAGCTAAACAAATCCCCCTTCTCTTTCTTGATGACTCCAATCACCCTTGCAACTTGGGCTTAGCTCCTGCCCTCCACTCTCTGCAAGAGACAGGCTACCTGAGCACAAGAGCATATAAAGTTCAACCCATGGTGGCTGGAGAGATGGCTCAGGGGTTAAGAATGCTTGCTGCTCCTATAGAGGACCTGAGTTTGGTTCCTAGTACCCATGTCGGGTGGCTTACAACTGCCTGTAACTTTAGCTCCAGGGAATCTAACATCCTCTTCTGGACATGTACATATATAAAGTAAAATGCCTTCTTCATATGTATGATATATAAAAGATTAACCCTCACAGCTGGGTTCATGCCTAGCAGTCTACTGATTAACTGAGGCAAGGGGATCGAGAGTTTCAAGATTGCCTGAGCTAGATAAAAACAAACAAAAACACCAGTCTTAAGTTTGGAAATATTGTCCTAAGAATCACTGTGAGTCCCAGAGTTTTACAAAGTTACCACAGCATGGTCACTAAGAACTAAAAAGGTTGTGCTTGCTTGGTGTGACACTGGCCATGATCCTGTTTACTTAACCTCCCTTTTCTGTCTCAGATTTCTATGGTGATATGCTTTCATTTAGCCTATTTCTCGTCTCTCAAAGTTCTTTATGGCTGTAGGTCAAGAGTAGAATGAATGCTTGCCTAGCATGAGTAAGGACCTGAGCTTGCTCCTCAGGAAAATAGACTCCCCACTGTTGCTCTGTGCCTCTGAGGTCCTGGACTTACTCTTTTCTTCCCACAGCTCTTGTGTTCCTTCCCAGTGGCTTTGTAATTTCAGACACATTCAAGGTTTCCTAAGCAGGATTTCTTGTTGGGAATGAGAGTAACAAAAATGTGAGGAGGAGCTGAATCACTCTTCTTTAGTTATGTCAGTGTTCTGGAACTTTCCCCTTCAGGTCAGAAATACCTATCTAATCACATACATGTCTGCCCTCTCTCTAGCACTCACACTAGTAACTCTCGGAAGCTTTCTAGAAAGCACCCTCTGGACAGATGGGATCATCTCAGTGGTCTCTATCATTGTAAATGCTATCTTGCTCTTCCTAAATATATGTTAATTAGCTAAATATTTATGTTTTGAATGTATCCTCTTTGGTCCCTTTCCACCAGCTTACTTGAATTCACACCCTCAACTTATCTTGCTTGGGTCACAGTCAGAACTTTGATGCAAGCAGAAGTCAGGGTAGAATCAATTTCCTCTCCTCCAGCCAATCTGCATACACCTGGGCAGAAGTCAGATTCTGGACTGGCTTCAATGAACAAACCCGGCTCTCCTAAACCTGCTGTGTACCCAGGGCAAATTACATAACCTCTTGAATTTCCTCTCTGTATGATCATGAAAGGGAGTACCGCCTCATAGCAAATAAGCTTGTTCTTATTTCAAAGAAATAAACCAAAGCTCTGTTTCCATAACAACTGAACCAATTCTCATCAACCTTGTCTTTTAAAAAGAGCAAAGTACTTCAAATTGTTGAGGAGAAATTTGTATTCTCATTATTTTCATATTAAAACAAGTCTAACTGCTTTTTAAAAGGCTAAGACTTGGAAGAAAGGAGGACTCTAGCAATGTTTTTAGGCTTTTCTCTGAGCCTTATGTAGAAGGGATGAAACCAGTCCTGCTGCCTTAGATTGAAGGACAGGCAGGGAGTGGGGAAAAGGGTGGTTTGTGCCCAGGTCCTCAGATGTCTTTTGCCACTTGGCTCCCACGTGCCAGGCCGCCTGTGAGCCTATAGGGGCTCTGCTGCATACTCATGGTAAATGAGACTATTACTACTTCCCATCCCCCTTCAATCTTCCCTTTCCCTCATGTGTTTGTATGGTGTTTTGAGAGAGGAAAAGCCAAAAGTTTCCCAACTGGCCA